TTCATTGTTGCCTACTCGAGTCCGGCAAGGGCTCTGCAAAGCTAGTTACTTCATCCCCAAGCCCACTTTGCGTATCTCGTGCGGTGACATAAAGTTAGTTGTGGCACCACAATCAATCGAGACACGGAGATAGCGGTGGTTTATGAGAAGTTTGAAGAAGATTAACTTCGTTGTCCCTTAAGCACGCTAACGTTTTATCTCAGCCCAATGCTCTAGGTGCCTTCTCAGACTCCTCCCAAGGCTTAACATACAAAGCATGACAAACTCCATCCTAGGAATCAGCAGACCATCGGGCTTCAAAAGAGGACTTTGATCTGTGTCAGGTTCAGTCTCCCTTGCCGTAGAGGGTATTGTTGACAAATCTACGCTCAATTCTGGTTTCCCTGCAGCCTATAGCAATCTTGAACTTTGTGATTCGGTTTCAGGCAATGCAGACTCACCCCTTTCTTGAGCCTAACCCTCCAATCACTTTCAATGATCCGGAGTTCAACCCAAGGTTTGGTGGTTGCATCCTCCAATTTCGTTGGGACTTCGACTCCCTTGGGAAGTTGGACATAGTTCTTTCTTAAGTTCCGGGTTAGTCCCTTCACATTGGCAGACTTTCTGAAGGCATTTAATTTTTCTTCTTCGATACTTATGTCGGAGTCATGGGCTGAAGAGGAACAAACTGTATTAGGGTCCTGTTCTTGGTCATCAACAAGAGTGGGGTCGTCTGCATAGCCCTCTTCATCGGCCTCCAACAGGTCATGCACAACAAAACGGTTGCTGCCTCAAAATCGTTTGCCGCCTATAGGCTTTTTACTGCCTAATGTGGAAACGAGGTTTTATGCCTCAAGGCTGACTACAGGCTGCATGAGGGATAGCCAATCCACGTATTCAATGAGCTTTTTGCCTAGGCAATGCGTGTTAGTAGGAACCATACCTTTCACAACATCCAAGCACGATTGCACAACCATTTTCGGTCTAGGTGTAGCAAAAAGTTTGCTAACAAACAACTGCAGGTTGTGCATGGAGCCCGTCCACTTGCTGCGCTTGAGATCATCAAGTCTCTTCCCGATTCTTGCATCAACACGTGGATCCTCATATTGTTTAATCAGGATCTCTTCAAGTATGGTTACTGGTGTGGCTTTGAGCCACTGCATCAGAAACGGTCAAATCGATCTTAGTATACCAATCCTACATAACTCAGACTTTTAAAAAGCCTCGTACGGAGGGTTCGACATTTTTTCCCATGAGCAAGGACTGCCTAAAGGTTGAGTTCCCAGCACCTTGAAGTAGACTCTCATGGAGTTGATCCAAGACTCCACGTCTTCCTTGCCGTCTTACTTGGATGGTATCTATATTGCCTTTCTGTCCACATAGAGACTGATATAGCCGCCACCAGCAAATGTTGTATCTGAACTCGAGGCTGCAGCAATCGCAGAAATCCCCACGATGTCACTTGTTGCAACGGCAGCGGGGTTTGCGCCTACTGACTGCAGGTCCCGATTGAATCACACTCAGAGGAGTAGAGAGGTATGGAGAGGAGCAAGGACAGACTAGTTAGCAGCATTAGAGGAAGGAGGTGGAGGAAGAGAATTAGGAATATAGGCCTCTAGTGCATCTGATCATTGTGCTCCTTGGCCATATCTGCAATTTGCGTCTGCAATTCACTTACCTGGTCAAAAAATTTTGCAATCTGCCAAGGAATTTCACTAAGCAGGTGACAGTTTATGAGCGCGTACACATATGTGACCAGATTTTCTTGACCTCGATTTCGGGCAAGGAGGGGACTGTTTAAGAGACAACCTCATGGTCTGCAACAACGAATTTCCACTTTTCCCCCTCTGCCTTCTCTTCTCTCACAAGTGCCTTGTTGTAGAGGACTTGGAACGATGGTTTGTCCTCATCGTTGGTTGCATCCAGTTGGGCCTTTAAGGCCACAAAGGCCTTTACTGCTCCCATGTTAAAACTACCGGAATTTTCAGCCGGCATCACAAAAAATGATTCACCAAGTCCCTCACGATGGGTACTCTCTCTCTCTTCCTTTCGTCCACGAGTCTCTACGGGCATCAAAAAATCAACTTAGAAAAATAAACAAACTGAAAACTTCAAAGAAAAAGAAGGTAGAACTCCTAGCAGAGCGGCATTACATTTAGACTAGAGAGAAGCCAATAAAATTAAAAAATAAACTCAAATGAGAGGTCTGATCCAACGACTCAGCTTGATCAATCCGAATACAAGATCCCCTCGAGTCCAGTTCGATCAGTTTCGTGAACGTACCGCAAATCAGACAACGAGTGACGACATACAACAATGGAGAATCGAGTGGTGTTGTACAAGTTGCGAGTCAAACCCCGGACGGTGCAATAAAAGCAAGTGAAACGTCTCAAGCCGAGATGCCCTCGACAACAGGTGTCCTAACCAAAAGAATAAACTTTGGATCCCAGTCAGAAAAAGAATGAACCAATGTCTAACAGATTTGGGTTCAAGAGGCCCTTCTTGCTTGGGCCCGGTTCCACTGGGTCCCTCAGGATCCCACATAGGCCATGACCAAGTCCCAACTAAGAGGAGTCCCACATAGACTTACTTTCTGCCTCTACCATACTGTAAAACAAATTTTAAACTTCCAACGAGAACCTACAGACTACAACCGTTCAAAGATGGAAAGACAAAGCACTATAGAAGGACTCGTCATTCAAAGCAAGATACTTCATTTCTTCATCTATCAGGTGAGTAAGTAGTTCATACACTGAAAACACACAATAAAGACGTCAGGGTAGTAGGAAAGAAACCCAGAATAACCCAAACAGCACAATCCATACCATGCACACACACATGGGCATCCCGTAGGCGCACGACACTTACCTGAGTGGCCTGAGATTCGAGATGAATAGAACTCACCCCCCTCTCATATGATCCTCCTGACCCCTATAACGCTACCCCTACACTAGTGTCCTATCTCCTAGGAGCGTCTGACTCCAACACCCAAGTGCAACGCCGGATCCCCCGCCGATGCTGAAGAACAAAGTAGCAACTTGCAGTCCGTAGATGCAGAATGGCTGCTTTCCCTCGAGCTCGCCTACTTGAGGGAAAGTCGCCAAGTGTCTCCCTTGAATCAGATTCCAGGTGTGAGTGCCTCTCATTGTCGCCTCTCTGAAATTGTCGCATGAAGTCTCCACGAAATGTCTCGCCACCCCAAACTTACTCTCAAGCAACCTGGTTAGGTCCAATGTCGAACCAACAAGACCTAACCAGGGCAGCTTCCCTTAACCACGCGGCCCCACTTCCCTCAACTTCCCTCAACTTCCAGCCCTAACCCTAAGTAGTAGCCCTCCAAATTAGGCTAAGGTTGATCCTGGCCAATTTTGAAGTACACATTCATGAGAAAGTACAATGTCGTCCAATTGCAAAAAGAAATGACTGAACTTGAGAGAAGAGGGACGGGAAAGAAGAAGAAGAAGAAGAAAGAAAGAAGAAGAATATGATGTACACCAGCAAAGACCAATTATAATTCCTTTCTTCTTCGCCAACCACTCTAATTCCTTTCTTCTTCGCCAACCACTCTCCTCCTCCTTATCTCCTCCCCTCTTATTCAAACAAGAAATAATAATAATAATGTCGAATGGCTGAACCAGAATCAATGTCTGAATCCCTCTTGTACACGTAAGGTCCACCATAGCCATGGCCACCCCTTCTTCCTCCTTCCTCCAAGGCCGAGGCTATGGCGGACTACCAGGGCATTACCCAGTGCAAAGGACAACACAAAGAAGCTATGGCTGCTCCAGCTCAGGCCGCCATGCCTGACTCTGCCTCGAAACGTCTTGGTGTAGCTCTACCCCACTGGGGCCTTCCTGCTGCAGCGCCCACCAAGGTGATGAAGACGGCAACCACCATAGCCAGGTAAGTACCTTTGGCGCCCCTCCTTCCTAGTCCTTGTCTTCCTCCTCGCTCTGTCCTTGCTCCTTCCCCATCAGCGCTGCTCTGATGCCCAGCCAGCGCTCCAACCAGTGTATCGCCAAACTTGCACACCGACAATGAGGAGGAGCACTTCGCTCCTGGAGATATAGCGGCCTGCTTGCCTCTTGGGTGGTGACTTCCAGACTGTGCAGCCTCCAAGCAACCGGTACCTCCTCCCTTTCGGAGGGAAACATCATTGCAGACTCTGATATTTCCCGTACAGGCCCTAGACTCAGACTGGTTGGACTGGTACCCGCCTAGACCTAGCCTACAATTACTGGGTCTCTAAAAATGCCAACTTTTGTCTTCTTCTGCCCGGCCTCGAGTACCCGGCGCATCTACCTCTACTTGGTGTGGTACCGGCATACCTGCTACTTGAGTGTTTTCCCGCTGTTCTAAGTGTCACAGGCCTCTTTCCCCGTTGTTTTCTCCGCTACAACCCTCAATGTCACGGCCAAGGTAAGTACCGGCCCTTTGGGCCTCCCGTACGGACGGGTACCCTTGCGGGTCACACACACACTCAAATCGTCAAGCACTCAGAAAGCACTCAAATCGTCAGGCATTCAGACCAGAAAGCACATCCACACACAGACTTAGCAAACTCAGCAAAAACTCAGCAAGGCGTACATTCCATTGGCAAAACTCAGAAATCGGCTGTGTCTCAGTCCGTGCTTGGCAGGTCCTTACAATGCCAGATTAGGCCCTAGCCCAGTACACCAGCCGATGTGCAGAGAGCTAAAGAAAAGTGCAACAACTGCTGACAACCATATTCCGCTGTGAGTATTCGTCCACAGTAGCATGGCAACTCCAAAATTTTCTAGCAGAATTAAGACCCACGCTGCCTAACATAGTACTCAAGCGAGCAGGCTGTGCCATCTGCTGTGTGATCTTTAACAGTCGATATCACTGGCTCCTAAACATCACCCAAACCTGTAAGCTTAGCACAAGGCTGCAGTATTCTGCCCACAGCCACAAGAGTTTGCGAGATTGATTTAGATGTCATCCCATTTGCATCGACCAATTATGCAGCTTATGAATATGGGAAGGAGGGAAAGTCTAACCTGAAACAAGTACTTAGTGTTAGCGAAATCCACATAAAAGTTACTTGCGCGGGACTTCCCAGACACTGGACTCCCTTGCACATCGGCATACACGTCCCTTGACCCTGCCTCGGTCCTCTGTAGTTCATCTTCTGATGACAGTAAATCACACTGAAGAGTTTCTCCAAAGCGGCTAGAACTTTTCCTGCAGATCGACAAGATTAACAGTGAAAGAAATATGGCATCAGTAACATACCAGCCTGGGAATGTCGTTATCGCATTTTGTGTGGATGCAGAACTACACCTGTATATCGGACGGTGTTAAACCATCTGTTTTTTTAGCTTTTTGTTTTGTTATGTTCTCGAATAGACGAAGTAGAAGAAATGTTAACAAACAACCGTATTTGTAAACAACGACTTGTAGGTATTGGTACTGTTACTGCGCAACAGGCTATGGATTGGGGATTTAGTGGTGTAATGTTAAGAGGTTCAAGGGTTTCATCGAAAAGCAGCACCCTCTCTATTTTTCATAGAATTTGTGGTGCTATTTTAGCTACTACTGTTTTATTTAGTATTCTTTTCGTCAAAATTTGTGAACTTAGTCTGACTTTTTGAGGACATTGATTTAAAGCTCGAGTACATTGTAAATAAAATAAATAAATAAGCCAGAGTGGCCTCCGCACCCTTATTTGACTCATTCTGACCCACCAGTCAGGGTAGGCACACAGCCGAACATTCGCCCTTGCAAGCGGAGGCTGTGCTTTCAATGTACCATCCTGCCTGTTGCCAGTTGAATGAGCACTTAAAGGGAAGAATGTCAGATGCATACAGCGGCCTCGCACAAACTCATGATCTAAAGTGATAAACACTGGACGCAATAAAGAAAAGAACTGAAAGATGGAGAAACAACACGAGCTGTTGGATGATAGTATAAATGTAGTTTTTTAAAGTACATGTAGTTTTTAGAAGTGTAGGCTTTAACCACAACAAAGAAAGTAATCAACTGCTTTCTCCTATTCTGTGCCATCATCTGCCATTCTTGCTACGCAGCTCCAAGATAAGAGAGAGATTTATCAATCAGCCTAGTGGCAATCAAGCTGCATCAAGAACAAGGGTTTCAAAAACATGGAGTGACCGATAATGGGTGTGGAGACCTTGAAGCGGTGGGGGCACAGGACATTTTGTAGGGGGTGTCAGAGAAGGCAGGACACTCTTGCCCTACCATATTCACCCAAATAAAATGCCCGGTCACCATCTCTGCATCTGGACTGAAAGCTGCCCCACAATACAGCTATAACGACTGGGCGTTCTTATGAAACTGCTGTACCGTTTCACAGGCAGCTCTCCAGGACTCCAAACGTGGTGTTTGTTATAATTCCACGGACTTCCCAATCATGGTGTTCCACGGAACAGTCCACAAGTGATGTTGCCAGCCCCAGAGGGCATGTAAAAGCAAACAAAGTTCGCAAGCTGGGCATCATCAACCCGGGAGGGCATGGAAAAGTAAAACTCGGTGAATTGCATCCATTTGGCTGACCTGTGCAATGCCTCTGTCAGAGTTCGCCTGGACAACCAAATCTCTTCATGCAGATCACACGCTGGGTCATCTGCCCGCCTAGGTGCCTTCTGACCAGGGAGTCACTGCACTAAGAACTAATTGACAACGCAAAACTCCAGAGGGCCGTGTGAACAAAACCAAACCGGACTATACTGGACTCAAAAGTCCAAGAGTGAGAAAAAGAAACGGCTACCTAAGGCAAATAGTGAATAAGGGTAAATAAGAGCCAATCATAGGACGCCTGCAAATGGAGCTCAGCCCTCAAGCCACCACTGAGGGCCAGTTTGGCTGAAGAAGCTGGTGGCCACACTTGGGCCCAACCCCAGAACGAGAATGAGTTTAGCTTTTAAACCACCAGTACCTCGCTCAGCTATTGAATCCGAGCCTCCCAGCACGCTGCGCGCCAAGTCCTGCCGAACCGCCGTCGCAATTTTCTTTTTCGTTTTGCCTGCGGCCTCCAGCCAATGCGGTCCGGCAGGCCGAAGCCCAAATGGCGCGGCGCGTATACGGGAAGCGCCGCGGCCGATAGCTGGGCCAGGTACTGGTGGTTTAAGCAGTCGTCATCTAAAAACCCTAGACATGCAACACTTAAGGGGTTATTGCTAGGATTAACAGGTCTAGAACATGGTAATCAGGTCAAAGGTGATACCCCTGACTATCAGAAGAAAAACACGGTCACTAAGGTATGTGGAGATACACTACTGTCTTCACCCGAACGGAATGCCATGTCATTTCAGCTGCATTCAGTGCAACTCTTGGTCTAGATACACGACAATGAACGGGACGTCTATTTGGGTGAAGATGGGTAGCCTGTCCCCAGAATGTGAACTTCATTGCAGTCTCCTCACACAAGAGCGTAACCAAATGAATGGGAAGGAGGATGAGCCATGGTAAAGAGGGAGCCTGAATGAAACAGATGGGCAAGAGAGGGCAAAGGAAAGGAGGCAGCAAAAGCAAGGAGATGGCAGTAGGAAGGGAAAGAGAAACAGAGTTGAAAAGGGGGGGAGAGAAGCACTGATTGTGTGGTACATACCTCAAAGTTGGATCATCTCCAAGGTTGCAAAGCTGTTTGCCAACATATATTTTCCATTCGCTAGATTCGCTAAATGGCCCTCCAGCAACATTGATTTTTGACATAGGAGGACCTGCCACCGGCCAGACTCTTCTCAGTTTTGGAGTGGAATAATCGTGAAACATAAAACCGTAATCCCGCTTATCCTGTCTGTTGGGATCTGAGTCAACAATGACAGTCACTCGCCGCCAAGAATTCTCTGGCTCATCCCCCCGGGAAGTGATGCATCTGATCTGCAAGAGAGTGACAAAAAGTTGAAAAAACATCCGCTTATCAATCAGGCCTTCTTGCTATATGATGCTGAGAATGCAATATTTTATCAAGCTTAAGTAGCTCAGGATTTCCGACCAGATAAGTAGACTGGAATATCCGAACTCCAGTCTATCAGGAATTCCAGATAAACCGGAAAAATGCCCCAACCAATTGGGGGAGAGGAATTTGCCCAGGGGGCTGACCGCACTTCAAAAGGGCTTCCCCAAGGTGTGGACACGAGGGGATTTCCCCCAAATCACCTTCCCTGGCTTTCCATGAATGTGTGTGTGTGTGTATGCGTTGTGTCAATTGCGTGTGTGTGTGTGTATGTGTTGTGTCATTTGTGTGTGTGTGTTAAACAACTTAACCCCAATCATTCATAACCACGACAATCCATTTCCCGCCCAGATGAGCAGATCCGAAATTGAAACCGCTTTGCCTCTATAGCCTATAGCAAACATCATGAAGCATGCATGTGTGTTTTAGATTTTCCCCACAACAGCCCCAATTCCACCCAGGTGAATAAATTCAGAATCAAAGCAGTCTTTATCCTATTGCAGACAACGAGAGCATTTGAGATGTCCAACATATTAAAGCAATTTTATAATTAGACAGTTTTTTGGTTGTTCTTGGGGTACCCCTTTCATTGTTCTTGCAGCTCCCCTTTTACTGTGCCTCTTACGCGCAAGGCTGCCCACGTTGATTGTGGTTGAGCAGCAGCTGCCCACATCCCCGTGTGCCTCCACGGCCCACTTGCACGTTATTTCAGGAGGCAGAGTACGTGGTTGAGCGGCAGCTGCCCACATCCCCGTGTGCCTCCACGGCCCACTTGCACGTTATTTCAGGACGCAGAGTAAAAGGGAAGGTATGCTCCTGTGCATCTCTTCAGAGCTTCATACTCCTGTCCATTTCATTTCAGATCTTCAGCTTATACAGCCTTTGTGTCCGTCCTTCATCTCCATACTTCCGTTCATTTCATTTCTGATCTTCATATCGTCTATACTCTTAATGATGCTCATTTGTATGTATTTGTTTAGGAGTACAAAGGGAGTGGAGGGGAGGGTGGAGGGTGAGGGATAGAAGGCCGAGTTCTCTAGGAGTATGGGGCAGGGGAGGTAGGGGCAACGGGAAGGAAAGAAATATGTGGAGGGCAGGATAGAATGACATGCAAGAGCAGGGGAAAGGTGTTTGACGGGTCTCACAGATTTCTAAATATTCACCGCTGTGAGTGGCCACCCCTACAGACCGGACAGGACCGGTTCGGGTGTGGGCTATGGAAGCACCGCATCCAATTTTCGCAGTCACAGTTGCTGCATGGAATGGCACGGCGCAGACAGATGTCACAGGCTACGTGACCCATACATGCTAGGAACACAAAGGCACGTCGACTGCAATTATAGAGGCATTGCAATTATAGAGGCATTGCCGTTCCAGCCCGTCTACAAATTGGACATGACATGTCGGGGTGCCGTACACGAGTACATATGTGCGTGTGATAATGTGTGTTTTACACTTCACCACAACAGCCGCTGTTCCATACCCCGATGAGCAAATGCAAAATTGATGCAGTTTTACCTCTGTTGCAGACAATGAAACAGCTTTACCTCTATACAAGCAACATGGAGCAGAATAGATCTGCTATATCCCTTTCTTGACTATCTTTACTTTGCCTTTCTTTTGGGTACCCCTTCTATTTCTTCTTGCAGTTGTTGCGTACAAGGCTCGCCACGTTGATGACGTCGATATAGTGTGACAATTATCACTTACAGTGTAATCAGTGAGGGGATTCTACAGACTGTTGAGGGTTCAGCCTCCTGATGAGTCGGTGAAACTCCGACGAAACAGTTTGTCACAGCCCCTCGTTTGTTGTCCTCTTCTCCCTCTCTGCCTACGGTTTACCGGGCAGTTCTATTTGACAATATATATATTGTCACAAAAATATCAGAGCGCAAATGCGGAAAAAAAGGAAGAAAAGAAGAAAAGAAGACCAGGGAAAATTGAACTCAATTTTTTATCTTCTTCCTTATAACTCCCCCTGTTCAGAACCTCTTGCGTACAAGGCCGCCCACGTGGATGTAGGTTGAGCGGCGGCTGCCCCCACCCCCGTGTGTCATATCGACCCACTTGC